ACAACCCCAAAACCTTAAAACGGGCCCCGAGCACGAACTAAAGAGCTCTCAGCCCTCAAGCCTGAGCCAACAACACCAAGACCCTAAACCCCTTCAGGGCCTAGAGCATTAGGGCTTTAATGGCCCTGGAACCCTAGAAATTACGATGCATGGTTTAGGGCATCTGCGAAAACGTAATGCATGAAGGGACTTATTGGGCTAGCCTTACATGAGCTTAAAAACTGATACCCATACTTCTAGCCATGGACCTTCAAGCATCTTCGCCAAAGTAGTGGCAGGTTTGGGAGCACAGACAACATGCCTTCACCCAAGTACTGACGCATTTCAGGACCACGGCGCCTATGCTTCCCCTCATGAACTTGGCAGAACTCAGGCGGACGGCCATAATCCTTTCCTCTAAGTACTGCTGAGATGCAAGACTTCGATGCACCAGTGAAGCTGGCCTCTCATTTACGAACCTCAGAATCCTGCAACCTGTGTTCCACACTGTTTGGGGAATGACACCCTTGCAAAACCCAAAAAAAGGCGAACGCAAACCTTGGAGTGCCTGAAGGACCAAATGACCCTTAAAAGTAGGGGCCCCTATACCCACATAGTATGAATCCCTATATGGTACATGAACCCTAAACCCCCTTTCGTCCTTAAGGTGCCGGGTCACATGGATGTGTCTTCGTCGAGGGATGTTAGACTCGGCGTCTGCCTTGCCGGGGGTCCTTCGAAGCCAAGCCTGGGAAGAAGCTGGGCCCCAAAGCTTTCTGGGGTCTTGGGGGGTTTAGGGGGTTCAGGGTTTAGGGTTTGGGGGGTTGAGGGGAGTTCGAGGGTTTAGGGCTCAGGGTTCTTTTCTTGTCTCTGGTATTCGTTTGGTTAAGAAACTGGAAGGGTTCATGAAATTGTGGATGAAGGATTCAGCGGTTACTGTAAGGGCTTATGGGGGTTATAGGGTTTATCGTGGATTCTTATGGTGGAGTAACGGGCTTCATTAAGGGCCTCCGGGAGCACAGCAGCAGATTCGATGCTTTCATGCGGTCCGCGAGTATGTTCTTAGTCTTGCTGTCCAGATATCGTCATTCCTGTCGTGCGGTTCTATGACGATCGAAACATGGCCAACCATGTGATGGAGCCTGCAGCTGGAAGTGCTTCATGGAGCCAAAGTACAGAGGACAGCCGGACAGCCTCACAAGGTGACCTTGCACCTGAGGAAAACCCTGAACGTCGGTACTTCAACCCTCGACATCACTGCCTCCCGCAACCTTCCTGAACCCCATGTTGCAAGTGGCAGGTTGACGTAGAGCAAGACATCATCAGTGGCGTGCAGGCGTGGGAGAGGAGAGCTGATGGTCACCCGCCTTAGGGATCTCGGCACCCTGTCCCCTGAGAGCCCAATCGTCCTTAATTAAGGAATATAGCTTAAATCATAATATGAATCCCCTTGTGATGTAAGGTATATCCCTTAGTTAAGGGTTATTGGGCTCTCTGGGTCCTCTTCTCCCCTTACTCTCCCTCGGCGCCTTGAGCGGAGGTGCTTCCTGGACTCGCCGGGCACACGCAGCGTCATCGACGGCAACGCCTGCAGAGCAAGGCCGAGCACAAGCCAAACCTCACCTCCAGCTTGCTGCGAGAGCTGCAGCGACCCCCCCCGCCCATGGCCTGCTCCTCCTCTTCCACCTGGCGGAAACGAGGCGTTTGGCAAAACACTCGCAGGCGTCCGCAGCGATCCGATCCGCGGCGCGCCTGCTGGCCCGCCGGGTTCTCTGCGTGGGCCTTGCGCACCTTCCGCGCGTAGCGGCGCAGCACGGCATCGAGGTTGGCCCAGTCCAGCGGCCGCGCAAAGCGCTTCAGGGTGGGCATTCCCATCCGCACCTCTGCAGCACACCCGGCACATGCTGGACGGCTCAGACTCATGTCTGGAAGCAACACTGGCCATGCGCGCCTTGGACTTGCTGGTCTTGCGCACCTCGGACACAACACAAGAGGAGCCGACGAACGTTGCGAGCGCCACTGTGGCCAAGGCGCGAATCGCAGGTGGGCCTCTTCGATGTCCATCAATGTCGTGCTCGCGTTCACCAGCAAGGTCATCTCCGCCAGCTCGTCGTAGCATTCTTCGTGAGACTCCTTAATTAGTACACGTAGTCTTCAGTCTTGGTGCTCCAGCTTTGCAACCGAAAGCCTGAGAAATGGCGATCTCCCTCATGATCACTGCAAATGAAAACTTGCAGAACCCGTTGATCCAGAAGCCTTCGTCCGTTCCACATTAGAGAGTTAGAGATTCAAGCAAAGGAGTTGGGTTGCACAGCCAATCTGAGCCCCACCCCCCCCCAGCAAAATCCCACCCGCCCCGAAGCCAATCCATATCTCTCCGGAGCCACTCGCGTCACCACAGCTGTCCGCCAAGCGGCGTTGCTGGCAGCAGAGCGCGCCGATGGGGCTCTCCTGGATTCCAGCAGGCTGCTGGGAAGCACCTTGCCGAGAGGGGCAAGCGGGCCTGACGAAGGACCGGGGGCGACTTCCAGTGCAAGCCAGGCAGCATGCTGCGTCGGGTCCGCCTCAGCCAGAACCCATGCACTTTCCGTCGGGAACATTAGCCAAAGCCCGGAATCGCCACACCTGCAGAGATGCCACAATGCAAGAGAGGCGCTTCTGGGACCGGCATGGAATCAACATCCTCCTTGAAGGCAAGCCTTAGTACGTCACTGCTTCCGACAGCAAGACGTGCGACATGACGTAACCAAGCTGCAGGTGGTAGGTGGTGCTCTCGCCATAGAGACGGGGAGGCAGCGGGACATGGAAGACGTCCACCGAAATGGCATGACCCGAAGGGGACCGGAGAGGCACGCGCAGGCAGCGCGGGGCAGCACTGCATTGCAAATGCTGCTGCTCGCTCTCCTCCCCATCGCTCGTGGCCGCGCCGTTCGCCAGGAAGCCATCGAACAGTTTCCTCGCCTCGTCATCGACGATAAGCTCCCGAAAGCTGCACCCGGCGAAGTCCTCTTTGCTTGACAGGAGCCGTTGCAGGCACGGAGCTTTGTCGCAGATCTGAAAGTTGCCGTCCAGAAGCAGCTCTCCGTCGCAGATGCCCTTCAGCATCTGCCGAAAGCCCTCAATCAAGGAGTCCGAGTCTTGCGACTGAAACGATGCAGCGATCCACTCCCGAACAGCGAGCTCGAAAAAGAGTGGGATGGCCGTGTATACTAAAGCCTGGACACAGGCAGACAGTACCAGCCACGGATTTACTGTGCCGAAGACCTGCCCCTTGACCCAGGTGTCAACAGCAAAGTAGGATGCGGTCTGCAATACGGTCATTGCGCCGACGGGAAAAAGGACTGTCTGTAGAATCTGACTGCCCTGGCAAAGGCCGTGCCGACCCAACACACCGTTCTGGTCGGAGCCGCTCACCCCAACGAGAACCAAAAGCAACATCCAGAGGACGATGCGCAGAGGAACAAGGAGCGAAGGTGTGAGAGGCCAGCGTTTTGTGCTGAGGAGGCCCATCATCAGATATCCAAATATGCCGATGACCCACCAGGTCGCCAATTGCAGGCGGGTTTTTGCACGGATCAACTCAACGGTTTCAAAGAGAACTATAACAAGCATCAAGTGGACGATGAGCCGGAAGAAGAGCATCAACATCTTCAAGCGCATCCGCATCAGCTCCTGGCGATGAGCCTATGCCGAATCTCATTCCGATGGCTCACGGAGGAGATGCTCCAACTTGGACTGTGAAAGCACGGGGTGACAGATCCCTCAACGAGGTGTGTTGCTCGACAACACCCGCAGTCCTGAAGACTACAAGACATCACAAGTAACTCCGGGTTAGGCAGCTAATGGCAGCTACTATACGACCAGGCAATGCTGTCCAGAAAACCCCTTCGTACAACCTTGAAGACACATAGCAGAGAGCTACGCTTAGTTCAGATCGACCGGATGTGGAGTATGAAGCTTCACTTAGACGTGAAACTCCACTCATGTCTTAAACATGCCGACAGCACACTGTAACATGTACCTCATCTTTGACCTGAGACCTACCGCACAACCGCGACATATCATGCACGACGGCCTTGACATCAAGCACAACTGTTTCCAAGTGCACTCGAAGCGTTGCCTGAAAAACCTGTGCACGCCATCACCTGACTGCACCTACGCAACATGCAGCTGTGGATGTCAACCTATGCCGCCAACGTCACAGCTAGATCTGCTACAGCTTCAGCTGCCTGTCCGCCTGCTTCCATGCCTCCACCCTACGACCATCAGCTCAGAACCGGAAGCCTTTCTCTCCTCCTCGACGCGCGCCGCCATGGGGCTGAGCCCCGAGCCCTTTCTGCCAACCTTGGCGGCAAACTGCGATCCTCAACGAGGCCCCTGCAAGAGAGGCGTCGACACAAGGCTCCGGCCCAGTCTTGCGCGAAGTGGAGGAGCTGCGACAGCCCGGACTTCAAGTCCGCCTGCCAGCTTCAGCAGGGCTGTGAGGCTGTGAGGCCATGGGCTGGCCGTGGGGGACGGGAGGGCACGCGCCACGTGCGCCTTCGTCGCATGCCAGTGCGCCGCCAACAGGGCCACGCAGGCCGCACCGGCCATGGCCGCATCCACAACGTTGGCCATGGCTTGGGAGCCAACGCCAGCTGAGCCCAGAAAATTGCGGCCTATGCCTCTGGGAAAAGCACGAATAAGTGAATAACATCCCCCTGATTGCCGGTGATCCGTTGTGAGCCTTGCGTTCGATGCGAATGCACCTGCTCTGACCGACTTGCGCAGCTGCTCCCCCGTACATCTCGTTGCAATGGCAGGTCATGCCTGCAAATGCTAAGGCATGGTGGGCTGTGACCGAGATGTCCTCACGAATCCCTCACCTGGGACCGCCAACCCACCATCTCTAGCCATCCGTAGCCTCCCCACAGTTTTTCTCTACACTGACATCCGCGCAGAATCGCGCTTCTTTGCCACTCAGGCCACGTCCCTGCAGACCTTTGTCTGCAAACGAGTGTCTTGAGGAAGATTTCACTCGCCTACCTCGCTCGCCTCACATCCGCAGGTAGCGAACTCTTCCGGCGGCGGCGCAACGGGTTGTCGCTCCTGTGACAGCGAAAATGAACAAAAGCCTCTACAGAGAACTCGGACGGACCCTGCACCTCGTATTAGCATTAAAATTATTATTCGTAGTCGTAGTAGTATTCGTAGTCGTAGTCGTAGTAGTAGTAGTAGTAGTAGTAGTAGTAGTAGCAGCAGCAGCAGTAGTAGCAGTAGTCGTAGCTTTCGAAGTAGTAGTTGTAGCAGTAGCAGTAGCAGTAGCAGTAGCAGTAGCAGTAGCAGTAGCAGTAGCAGTAGCAGTAGCAGTAGCAGTAGCAGTAGCAGTAGCAGTAGCAGTAGCAGTAGCAGTAGCAGTAGCAGTAGCAGTAGCAGTAGTAGCATTCCCACGGACTCCAACCTGACTTGGGCTCGGGAGGCCTCTTCCGGCGCCTCGCCCCTTCGCTCGCCGGGCCCCGCTCCTCAAGGAGCGCGGTCCCTGCTTGGAGGTTCATGGATAGTTATAAGTAGGGATATAAGGGTTCCTTTAAGGCTCCCTTTTAGGGATTAGGGTTTAGGGTAGTTATAAGTAGGGTTATAAGTAGTGACATAAGAAGGGTAACTATATACTTAAAGATAAACCCGAAACCCTCAACCCTAAGCCATAATGTGCAGACTGCGACCTCGAAACTCGCCGCGTTAGCACCGAACTGCGGTGCCCTCCTTCGGTGACCCACTTGGAGGTTCATGGGTAGTTATAAGTAGGGTTATAAGTCCCCTAATATGGGTTACAAGTATACTTGGAGGATCATGGGATGTAGTAAGTCAGGTTATAAGTACCTTAAGTGGGCTTATACGTGCTTATACATATAGTTACTTTATTTACACCCCAGTTACTAAGTCCCATGATCACTCAGAAACTTGACGTCGGAGCTCTTCCTATAAATTCGCCCGGGTCCTGTCTTGCTGGCTCCAGGTCCACTTGCGCCTCCTGACCCGCAGTCAAAGGAAACGGCGGGCACCTCACGTGTCACGGAAATTGTGGAAACGCCTTCTCCTGCTCTAACAATCGCTAATAACAATCATAATTGTAACAATTGCAATAGAAGAAAGAATATACATAGTGAACAGCAGCAATATTGACAGTGATGGTAGTACGAGTGGTGACCGTGATAGAAGCACTAGTAAGTAGAGGAAGAAGAGCCGTAACAAGAATAAGAACAGTCATCATAATACTCTGGCTCTGGCTCCAAACTTCCCTCTGAATATGGGGGATCAAGAGACCGACTTTGAAGGGATTACTCTGGCTCTGGCAGCTTTCCGCCGGGTCGCTGGTCCTCGTCTCCAGGACGAGACGAAAGCGCAGGCCCCTCGAAGTCGACCCTCGGCAGCTCGGGCTCGAGGCCCTGCTCCCCAGTACTCATTCTTAGTAGTACTCCTGATGATAAAAATCCTGCATTACCTGAAGGACCCTAAACTATGGGGATTATGGTATACTCCTTATTATGGGCAATGCAGGATTTAGAACATCAACCGTATTACTATGAGCTTTCATTGTTAGTAGTATTCCTTTTTAGCTTGATTTCATTGCTACTAACATTGTTATTAGAAGTATTACTGTTTTAGCTTGGTTTCATTGCTATGAATACTGGTATTTAAATACTATGATTACTTGTCTTTAGTACTCTTCGCTGCTTCTGTCTATTATATACTGTTGCTCTGATACTGCTGCGATCTTCTTTTGCAGCCTGTCGGAAGCTCTTAGCCGACCTAGTCTGGGCACTAGGTCCTCCTTCGGGCCCTCCACAGGGTCCCAAGCGTACCCAGAGAGCGCAATACTCCTTAATTAAGGAAAATAGCTTAAATCATAATATGAATCCCTTAAAATTTAAAGTATATTCCTTAATCAAGGGGTATTGGGCTCTCTGGGTCATCGTCTGAGTAGCTTCATTTGGACGGAGTGTTGTCGACATGCTCAACCCTGACTTCTAAGCGTACCCAAAACCTACACCTCAAAGAAGCCTCCAAGGAACTGTTGGGAACCCTCTAAAGGAACCCTACAACTAAACCCCAGACCCTAAAGCCTAAACCCTAAACTCCAAACCCTGAAGCCTAAAGTCTAAACCCTAAAGCCTAAACTCCAAACCTCAAACCCCAAACCCTGAACCCCAAACACCCTAAACCGGACCGCCGCCCCTGCTGGGGACCAGGCGGCGTCTCCTCGCCAAGCGAGGCCAGGCTCGGAGTGGCCCGGACGCGGGGCTCCTCGAAGCTTTGCCTCGGAAACGGGCGCGATCGGACAAGAAAAAAAAGTGATTGGGGCTTTTCGGCTGGTTTAATAACGGCTTTTGGGTGTTTTGGGGGGGTTCGTGGGGTTTGAAGATTTGGGGTTCGGGGTTTTGAGGATTTGGGTGTTTTGCGGCTTCGCGGATTTAGGGGAAAACGGTTCGGGGTTTAGGGGTTTCGGGGCTCAGGAGGGCTCTTCGGGGCTGTTTGGCTCTGGATTCTCTAAGGATGCTTGGATTGAGCGGAATCGGAGGCTGTAGGGAGAACTTCGGGCATCCACGGAAGGTGGACAGTCGCTCCTTGATTGAATATCGACGGCTTCTGAATGCTGAATCTCTGCGATTGAAATCTGGCCATCTCCAAGCACCGGATCAGGACGAGGCCCACGACCATATCTCACGTGTTTAGAGCGAAAGTCACTTGCATCATAAGGTGATCTCATCCGAACGTTTCAATGTTCACCCCGTACTGCACCCTGGGGCTTTCATGCGAACCGCCTACGTCTCCGGACGTACTGTGCTGAGGATTCGTGGGGGATTTGGTGATTGGCACTGCGCCGATGGTGTGTGAAATACTTACCTTTGGTTAGTAGGGAACGGAGGAATGGGGTACAATTATAACTACAAAAAACTATCATTCTTCCATTCCCTACTCACCAAAGGTAAGACACTTCCATGGCATGACAAGCTGAACTAACCATTGGTTTTGGGGGTTCCCGTGGCTCTTTAGCTCCTTATTTATAGGGACTATCATGATTCCTGGCTCCTTAGCTCCCCCAATATCAATGGCTAGTTAGGGTTTAGGGGTTTAGGGCGTAGGGCCTAGGGCTTAGATGAGGAACTCTGCAAATCATGCAGTCTCACCCGATGAGCAGGAACTTTCTTGACAGCCCGGCCTATTGCATCCAAGCGTCAAGTGGATGTAGAGGAAGACATCGTCAGTAGTGTGCTGGCGAGGGAACGGAGAGCTGATGGCCACACGCCTGCTGAAGAGGAATTTCGACTTTCGATGCCTCGGCTCTCCCTGGGCGCCTGGAGCGGAGGTGCTTCCTCGACTCGCCGGGCACACGCAGCGTCATCGACGGCAACGCCTGAAAAGGGCCGAGAAGCTTTGCAGTCCAGTCTTCTCCAACGTCAGAAAGCCTTACCACTGCGTGGAAACTCGTCGCACTTTTTTCTCAAGCGACCTATGAATGTTGGAGCAGCTCAGCATGAGCCTGACACGCCATGGTGAGTTCAAAAGCCGGCAAATGGAGGATTCTAAGCTGGGGAGCTGCTATGCTGTGCCTATCCGGGTGGCAACTGTTCCCTATCCGGGTGGCAACTAGTCACGCCGCGGATGAAACGGAACTACGAACCAAACTAAACCTCACCTCCAGCTTGCTGCGGGAGCTGCAGCGACCACACCCCCCCCACCCCCCGCCCATGGCCTGCTCCTCCTCTTCCACCTGGCGGAAACGAGGCGTTTGGCAAAACACTCGGAGGGGTTCGCAGCGATCCGATCCGCGGCGCGCCTGCTGGCCCGCCGGGTTCTCGGCGTAGGCCTTGCGCACCTTCCGCGCGTAGCGGCGCAGCACGGCATCGAGGTTGGCCCAGTCCAGCGGCCGCGCAAAGCGCTTCAGGGTGGGCATTCCCATCCGCACCTCTGCAGCACACCCGGCACTGCTGGACGGCTCAGACTCATGTCTGGAAGCAACACTGGCCATGCGCGCCTTGGACTTGCTGGTCTTGCGCACCTCGGACACAACACAAGAGGAGCCGACGAACTTTGCGAGCGCCACTGCGGCCAAGGCGCGAATCGCAGGTGGGCCTCCTCGATGTCCATCAGTGTCGTGCTCGCGTTCACCAGCAAGGTCATCTCCGCCAGCTCGTCGTAGCATTCTTCGTAAGACTCCTTAGTACTTTTGGTTTTAGTGTTGTTGCTCTAGCTTTGCAACTCTGGCAAAGGCCCCAGAATGCGATGCATCTTTGTGCGCTCTGTCGTAATCGAGCACTGCTAAGCCTTAAGCTCGAGAATCGATTTTGTTTACACAGATCGCGGTGATTCAGAAGCCTTCACCCTATCCCATCTTTGACGTGTTAAAGAATCACATGGAGTAGTCTGCCCAGGGGTGTTCGGGGAGTTCAGCTCACCGACCGCCTTTGCCTGAGCCCTGCTCCCTGTGCTGAGAACATCTCCGAAAGCAGACATCATCTGTCCGCCAAGCGGCGTTGCTGGCAGCGGAGCGCGCCGTCGGGGCTCTCCTAGATTCCAGCAGGCTGCTGGGAAGGACCTTGCCGCAGAGGGTGGGGGCAAATGAAACATGCGGGGCCTAACGGAAGGACCGGGGCGACTTCCAGTGCAAGCCAGGCAGCATGCTGCGTCGGGTCCGCCTCAGCCAGAACCCATGCACTTTCCGTCGGGCACATTAGCCAAAGCCCGGAATCGCCACACCTGCAGAGATCTTTCAATGCAAGAGAGGCGCTTCTGGGACCGGCGTGGAATCAACATCCTGCTTCAAGGCAAGCCTTAGCACGTCACTGCTTCAGATTGCAAGATATCCGACATGACGTAGCCAAGCTGCAGGTGGTAGGTGGTGCTCTCGCCATAGAGACTGGGAGGCAGCGGGACGTGGAAGACGTCCACCGAAATCGCCTGACCCGAAGGGGCCCGGAGAGGCATGCGCAGACATCGTGGGGCCGCGACGGATCGCAAGCGATGCTGCTCGTCATCCTCTTCGCCGTCGCTCACGGCTGCAGCCCGTGCCAGGAAGGAATCGAACTTTTCCCTCGCCGCGTCATCGACCAACAGCTCCCGAAAGCTGCGCCCGGCGAAGTCCTCTCTGCTTGACAAGAGCCGTTGGAGGCACGGCGCTTTGCCGCAGATCTGGAAGTTGCCGTCCAGAAGCAGCTCTCCATCACAGATGCCCTTGAGCATCTGCCGAAAGCCCTCAATCAAGGAGTCCGAGTCTTGCGACTGGAAGGATGCCACAATCCACTCCCGGACGGCGAACTCGAAAAAGAGTGGGATGGCCATATATGCTAAAGACTGGGCACATGCAGACACCACCAGCCACGAATTTACTGTGCCGAAGACCTGCCCTTTGACCCAGGTGTCAACAGCAAAATAGGAGACGTTCTGCAATACGGTCATTGTGCCGACGGGAAAAAGGATTGTCTGTAGAATCTGACTGCCCTGGCACAAACCGTGCCGTCCCAACACAAGATTCTGATCGGAGCCACTGACCCAGACCAGAATTAACAGTCGTGCCCAGAGAAGTAGCCGCAAAGGGACAAGTAGCGAAGAAGTGAAAGTCCGCTTTGTGCAGAGAAGGCCAAACATCATCAGATATCCCAGAGCGCCGATGACCCACCATGTCACCGATTGCAGACTCGGTGCACAGAGCAAGTCAAAGGTGAAGAATAGGAGCAGAACCACCATCACATGAACGATAAGTCGGAAGAAGGACGTCAAGATTTTCAAACGTAGACGCATCAACTCCTGGATGCACGTTAGGGCATATTCTAGACATGTGCAAGCGCAACTCATTCCAAGATGGGCCCTCAGTCCGCAGAGCCGCAGAGTAACAGAATTCTTCATCTCACTTGAGGATACAACGGCGCTGTGGCAAAAAAACAGCAGCGTCAGCATTTCTGGTCGTCTCCCTTCGTTTCAGTGAACGTCTGAACTTGCTCGCTGGGGCTACCGCTAGGTCGCGCAGCTAGGGCTATCGCTTCTCGGGCTTCCCCAGCTGCCTGTCGGAGTTTAAACTACGGGCCAAGGGTTCCCTCTGCTAAAGAGGCCAACTGCCATTACCAATCGCAAGATCTAGGAGTTGCGGTGGTTAGCAAAAGCACGAGCAGCAGCAGCAAAAGCAACAGTAGCGGCAGCAGTAGCAGTAACCAGCAGCCAGCACCCGATACCAATACCAATAGCCACTAGTAGGCAGTAGCCAGTAGCCGGCAGCCGGTGGCAGCGGCAACCGTAACAGTCAAAGCAGCCGTAGCAGCCGCACCACTCGTCGTAACAGTAGCAGCAGCAGCAGCAGCAGCAAGTAGCAGTAGCAGCAGCAGTAGTAGGAGTAACAGCAGCAGCAGCAGCAGGAGGAGGAGTAGTAGTAGTAGTAGTAGTAGTAGTAGTAGCAATAGCAGTAGCAGTAGCCATATCAGCAGCAGTAGTAGTAGCAGCAGTAGTTGTAGTAGTAATAATAATAATGGTATTCATTCATTCAGACGCTCGTGCGGGAATGGCCAGCTATGGGGCAAGAAGTATTATCAAACCAACAGCTATGGGGCAAGAAGTTTTATCAAACCAAGGAAGAAACCACACGGGCCAAACTAGGCCAAGCAAAGCAATTAGAAACGGCCCGATAGCTGGCAGTCTTGCCTCGCATCAATCTGCCAAAAGCTCAGCGAGACTTGCTTCACGACGGTCCGTGGACTCAGCTCGTGGAGCACAAAACTGCACGTGCGCACCGGTCTGAGGACGCAGCAGGCGCAGTTGTTCGCAAAACAAAATTTGGCGGCATCCCTCACAGAACCTGCGGGTTTTGCTCGGCTGCTGAGCTTGTTTCACGCATAAACAACAGCAAGTAAAGTAAAATTAAAGCTTACGACCCTAAGCAACCATGAAAGTACAGCAGACCTCCAGTCAGGAAATTACTGCGGCAACAATGAAAGTACAGCAGACCTCCGGTCAGGAAATTAATCTACGAAGCGACGCCACCGCTGCCACACAGGGCCATGGTTTCCATGCAGCAGCAATAGCATTCCATCCACAAAGTACTGTGGCGTGGAGAGAGGGCATACTAGACCAGGAGGCTACCTCACCAGTCTGGGTCCAGGACTGCCTAAGGACCAACTATTGCTTCAAAAAGAAACTTCGCACAACAGCACTATGGCATGGCTTCACCCGACGGGACTACTAGGCCATCAGAACTGCCTCACCCGACGAACCGGACTACTAGGCAGTGTTTACCAGCTCGGCAAGTAGACAGCATGTCCAGCCATACCCGACGTTCGGGACTACTGGGCCTTGCAGAAAAAGCCTTTCCCGACGAACGGGACGGTTACTAGGCAAATCCAGATTCGTAACTACGGTGGCAAGCCCATATAATCCTGAGTGCGCAGTCACAGACCTGACAGGTCCGGCGTGAATACCTGGATGCCGTACAGTCGCAAACTTCAACACATGAGCTAACACCTTTGCACTGATTGCCCAGCTTCTGTGTTGGAAGACATGCAATTTGAATAAAAGCTCGGTGTGAGTCAAAGCGACAAGCAAATGAAGGTGTATGACGCACGTCAGAGCTCCAGGGTTCCACAATTTCCAAGGACCAATACTAGAACGAGGTTGCACTTTAAGGAGATCGCCTCCCCCCAGAACAAAGCTCCCACGTACAAGCACTAGCAGCGTAGAACGCGAAGTTGTGTTGTTGTTGAGTTGTTGTTGTTGTTAGTCGGACTTCGAAGTTCGCTGCTTGACCCAGAGACCTAGCAAAGTGGGACCACGGTAGACATTGGCTTTCCCTGGCTGTAAGAAAGTAGAAGTAAACAAACATCCCCTTCGCTGGTCTTGGCAAGTATCTGCGACCATCCCAAGCTGGTAATACGAAACAATCTCCATGGAGTCTGTGAGCAATACCGAACCAAATACAAGCATTAGCCAGTGCCATCCAATTTCAGCTTCCAAAGACCAGAGGCAAGACTTGGAGGCATTACAGGGATCTGCCGCTTGCGCAACATGGACTCATGAGCCTTTTCCAGTCAATTAGCATGGTGGGGCTGCATCGGGGAAGAGCATCTGTAGACATGCTGAAAACGTATCCATGTAAAACCCGAATCTGCGAACTGTGCCATTCATGAACATGGAGTGCAACATGATAGGCCCTGTGCCATCCGCGTCTTTTCGACCAAACTGCAAGCGGTTCGAACTCCCACGCCGTTCGGCAAGACGCTTAGGAGCAGAGCAAGTTTGCTTAGCAAGCGAATATCTCCCCCCAGAATTGGGACCGGGCCAGCTCGTGTATATCGCCTGCAAATTGGCGTGCCTGTATCACCAACGAGTGCAAGAAATGACTGAGACTCTTTGAGTCTCAATACAGATTTGACACCACTCCCGGGCACAACCTGATCTAAGAGAATGGAAAGTTGGAGGACCAGGATCTGTTGGGATCTCGAATGGTTGGGCCCTCCACAAGCTGTCCTGTGGTGATTCGACGGCTACAATTCGCGGCCGCTTGATCTGGTAGCGCTTTAGTAGCAGTAGCAGGAGCAGGAACAGGAGCAGTAGTTTAGTAGCATCAGTACTAGTACTAAGCCCCACTGGGGACCCACCTTTTAAGAGCAATAGGAATGCATGTTGTTTGTCTTACGTGTAAAAAAAGGTGGCCAGGCCGTTGGATTCCTCACTTGGATGGATTGCACTGTGGTGTTGCTGAAGGCTGTTGTCGGGGACCCGCTCCGGTCCCCGAAAGTATGGTTCTGGCGGTAAAACTGGCGTTTTGGACCACGCCGCGACGGCATTCTTTTCTTCGTTTGATGGAAGTGCGTTGTTGGGGCTTAAACTGTTGTTGTTTGGGAGCACGCAGCGACCGCACTTTTTCTTCAAGCTCGACGGGTAAGAAACTCTTAAAGCACAGGTGGTCGGATAATACAAAAATGCTATAAGAACCGCGCAAAACACTGCTAAGAAGGCTTTACCACCCCTAACATCTGAAGTGCAACATCTTAGCATCCACAACAAATGCCAGGTGTACGTGGGAAGGGCTCGCCAACATCCCTAAAGCTCGAACCTTGGCCCAAAGGGTTTGCTTTTCAAGCCGTGTGTGGTGTATGCGCACTAGGGTATGGAGATTGTTCGGGGTGTCTGCGAAACAATGTCGTCACCATCCCAGAAAGAAGCTTCCCCCCAAGCCAAGTTCGAGTTTCCGCACAAAGCCCTCAAAAATCCTACGGTCGAGTTCGCAAAGTCCAGAAATAGGTTTGGTGACGATTAAGATGGTCCGACATCACCAAAGTACCGGTACCTCCCTCTCTCGATCTCTCTCTTCTGCAGCTCGGCGTGTCTGCGTAACAGTGTCGTCATCATCGCCGCCAACCACACCCCCCCCCCCCCCCCCCGCCCAACCCGATCCGAAATGTGTCTGCACGCATCCAGCATCATCGTCATCATTATCATCATCAGCATCCTCATCATGATCATCTTGTCAAAAATGCTAAGAGGGTGGGTCCGGCAAGGGGCGCCGGCCTAGTACTAGTACTAGTACTAGTACTTACTAGTACTAGTACTAGTAGAAGAAGCACTGTAACCATGCGTCGCTCCGGGCATTGTTGCAATGCCCGGAGAGCCTTCAAGCCCCAACCCTTCTACAGCCCGACGTCACGTTGCCTGCCCCAGAACATTGCTTAGTTCCACGAGATGTGGAGTATGAAACTCCACTTAGACTAGTGCATTCGAAGCGTTGCCTGAAAAAGTCTGAATTCCATCACATCCTGCACCTACGCAACATACAGCTGTGGATGTCAACCTATGCCGCCAACGTCACAGCTAGATCTGCTACAGCTTCAGCTGCCTGTCCGCCTGCTTCCATGCCTCCACCCTACGACCATCAGCTCAGAACCGGAAGCCTTTCTCTCCTCCTCGACGCGCGCCGCCATGGGGCTGAGCCCCGAGCCCTTTCCTCCAACCTGGGCGGCAAACTGCGATCCCCAACAACGTCCCTGCAAGAGAGGCGTCGACACAAGGCTCCGGCCCAGTCTTGCGAGAAGTGGAGGAGCTGCGACAGCCCGGACTTCAAGTCCGCCTGCCAGCTTCAGCAGGGCTGTGAGGCTGTGAGGCCATGGGCTGGCCATGGGGGACGGGAGGGCACGCGCCACGTGCGCCTTCGTCGCATGCCAGTGCGCCACCAACAGGGCCACGCAGGCCATGGCTGCAGCGGTGCTCCCAAACAGGGTCGGCATCGGCACGTCCATGGCCACCGATGAGCCTCAAAAAATATCTCAGAATTTCTCTAGTTAAACTAATTGAGCCGATCGGAAGAAAGCGGCAGGACATTCATCATGAGCAAGAGAGATGGCAGCTAAATAGTAGTGAGTCCCACCAGTCGCTTCCCAGTCTCAGTCCTAGCTCAGCGCAAGCCAGAACCGACACACTTGCGGGGAGTCGCTCTTCGCCAGACGCGCCGAGTCTCACACGTCAGCTTTAAAACACGTCGCCTAGGTCGCTCGCGTCACAGCTTCAGAAGGTACGGAACGCCTCCGGCGGCGCCTCTGTGCAGGGGCTCTTGGAGTGGAGAGAGCTAAGCCATGGCTTTCTCCGGAGCCTTCATGGCGGTTTAGGGTTTAGGGTTTAGGGTTTACCTTCTGAACTTCTTCTACAAACACAGGACCTCTCCCCTCACGACCTTCAGTGGAAACAGCTCGACACTTTCAGCATCCCTGCTATCTGCATCGACACTACCCACATGAACACCAGCACACACCCTTAAGTCCCTTAAGCACAAGTTCTGCTTCGGGAGGGGCTAGTACGCACATCATTGCTCACCGGTACACGAACCTCCACTTGTAGCGGGAAAGCCCCGACTGCAGGTGGCGGGCTTGGGGAGCACCGGCTATGAGCGAGTATGCGCGAGTATGCGCTTATGCGTGAGCGTGCCCGAGTATTCGCAAGCGAGCAGACTCGAGCGTTCTCGAGCATGCTCGGAGTGCAGTCGCCCACCGCGTCCGCCAAGCAGCACTGCTCAACAAACCTTTCGTTTAGTTCTGGAGCCTCTCGGCAAGCCGCCCAGAATGTGAGACATCGGTGGTACCATGACTTCGGTTTGTCAATTTCTTATGTTGCCCTTCGCACTGCCTTCTTAGTCGTACTTCGGAAGTTTGAAAACACCCCTCCAATCACCTTCCAAACCTTCCAAGCGCTTCAAGCCAAAAGCCTTCTGACGGAGTTTTAATCACAACAGATATTCAATCACAACAAAGCCAGACCACAACATCAAGAAAATCCGGGGGCTCGACTTCTCACATTAAATAAATAGAGAAGCTCAAAACTAGGGTGAGTCCGGACTTGATGTCGGAGCCATTTGCGATTAAGAAACTGTCGTTAAGAAATCCAGGACACCCTCAAATCTGAACGACAGTGTTTATAGGAAACCGTGCTTCAAAACTATTGAATCGACGATGCCTTCACCCAAAAAAGTGCCTCTGTACTTGCAGTCGATCTGAAAAATACGTTATGTTACATGGCGCTATATTGCATTGCATTATACTATTTTGTATTGTGTCATACTATGCTATATTTTATGTTGTCAACACCTTCCTCGCAACGCGGAGAAAGCCTCAGCTGCAGAGGGAAAGTTCCCCATTCCCCCGGTACAGCCCGAAAAGTCTTTGCCCTTCATAATGAGAAGACCACACCTGCAAGCGCTTGAAGAGCTACTGCAATGGAGGGGCCGGAGCAGCTTAGATATGAGTACAACTTGTTTAGAAGCCCAGACCACCAATATTTAATACTAACAGTCTTGTTCAGGGGCCCACTTCTATTGCTAGCATAACAGTCTTATTGTGAAGGAACCCTGATAATAATATAGATCTTTACGAAGTCTTCCGCCCACTAGACGAAAGCCTAAAAGGCCATAAACCATAGATCCGACAAATAAGAATGAAGCTCTGGAACCCTACTTGGAGGTACATGGGCAGTTATACGTGGAGTTATAAGAAGGGTGACTATAATTAAAACCCATATTAGGGGCCTTATAACCCCACTTATAACTACCCTAAACCCTAAATCCTACAGATCCCTTAAAGCAACCCTTGAAGGAATCCCTATAACACTGGAACCCTATAACCCCCCCCCAAAACCCTAAACCCCTAAACCCTAAAGCCCTAAACCCCTAAACCCCTAAACCCCTAAACCCTACACCCCTAAACCCCCAAACCCCTAAACCCCAAAAACCCCCCCCTTCCCAACCTCCCCGAGCCTCGGCCTTCTGTGTGTCCCATGGCCCAACTCCTCCGTGGAAGCTTTTACTTAAGGGTTCCTTTAAGGGTCCCTTTCAAAGGCTCTTTTTGGATTTAGGGTTTAGGGTTTAGGGGTTAGGGTTTGGGGGTTTAGGGATTCGGGTTGAGGGTAGCTTTAAGTAGGGATATAAGTAGGGTAACTACTTAGAGGTTCATGGGACTTAGGGTTCCCTAAAGGTGCTCCTTAAGGGGCTCCATTTAAAGGGTTCTATAAGGGATCTATAGGGGTTTAGGGTTTAGGGTCTACTTAGAGGTACTTAGTAACTCGGGTTATAATTAAGGTGACTACACTTATGTGTACTTGTAATCCCAATTAGGGTACTTTTCAGTGTACTTATTAAGTCCCATAAACCTCAAAGAAGGCCTCCTTTCAGAGTCCCTCTCAGGGTTTAGGGTTTAAGGTTTAGGGTGAGGGTACCTTTGTTAAACCTAAGAGTAACCTAGGAATAAAAAGGGTGCCCTTCTTGGATTAAAGGGGTTATACGGGAACCTAAACCTTAAAAGCGGGAATAAGGGCCTACTCTGGGTCCTGGCATAAGGGTAGACAAGGGTCTACGGTGGTACTCTAAGGGCTCCGTAAGTGTAGCTGTAAGGGTAGTATGGTAAGTAGGGCTTGGGGGTCTCGGGTTTCGGGCTTACTTGGAGGTTCACAGGTAGTTAAAAGTAGGGTTATAAGTACGTAGGGTAACTATACTTAGAACTTATAACCCATAGTAGGGGACTTATAACCCTACTTATAACTACCCTAAACTCTAAATCCTATAGACCCCTGAAAAAAAAACTCCAAGTAGGGGGCTTAAGGAGCTTCGAGGTGGAGCTCGGAGCTGGCCGCTCGTGCCTCCTGGCCCGTCAAAGGTGGCGATGGCGGGCACCTCACATTGAAAACAGTATTACAATATTATAGTATTGTAGCATTAGGGTGTTGTAGTATGCTATGGTATAGTATACCATGATATGGCAGACTGCGGTGCGGAAGAACAGAGAACGACTTGGCCAACTGCTCTGGCTTGCAGCCGGGTCGCTGGTCCTCGTCGAGGTCCCCCAGGCGAGACGTCGGCGGCAGTGGAGGTCCCTCGAAGCCGACCCTTGGCAGTGCGTGCTCAAATCCTGCAGACTCGTTTCTTATGGTCTCACTCCTTCCATGACCTGAGGTGAGGCCACAGCTTCGGTTTACAGGGCATCATCCCCGTCCCATCCAGTCAAGCAACTCATGCAAGAGCAGGTGTCCCAACAGGGCGCAACTACGCGACTAACACATTAAGTCAATGCTGCGGAACAGGCTGGAAGGCTCGTGGTGTTGAAGCCGACTCCGCTTTCTGAACAGCTCGCAAAACCTTCTCTTCCCAGACTTCTCTAGGTAACCTTGCAATTCCATCAAGAAAGCATCACAAGCTGCAAGTCTACAGTGAACCTCGCTTTCCCCTGCTGCGGCAGTGTTCGAGCAGTCACGTGTGGCCACATCGCACTGCACATCAAAAAAATTGGCTGTCGACATCGGCTGAGTTTGACGGCAGCGGTGTGGGAAGGCTTCAGTCTGAGAAGGGCTCACCGTCATGTTGTCCATCCGTGCGGGAAGATTTTCGTGCGAAAGCTATCTGCATAGAAGCACCATGCTTGCAGGGCTGCCAACCGGACCCGGCCTCCGTCACAGAAAGTAGACCCTTATGAACCAGCTTCGGAAACAAGACTCTTCAATGCAACACTGCGAATATGCTTGCTGAACCTCCGGGCAGGTCACATTAATTAAGTACCGTTTATGGCAGCTGAACTGCTTACAGAACAACTGGAACTTCCACTTTGACATGCGAGCACCCAAGCGCACTTCCAAGCGTCAGATGCAAGAACAGGAAGACATCTTCAGCGGCGTGATGACGCGGAAAAGGCGAGCTGATGGACACATGCCTGCTGAGACGCTTAAGGCTTGCAGTGCATTGCAGCGGCCTGCAATGCGCTTTGGCTCTTCACAGGTGCCTGGCGCGGAGGTGCCGTCTCGATTCCCCGGGCACACGCATCGTCATCGACGGCAACGCCTGCAAAGAGAGAAACAGGCTCATAATTAACGATACTGCTATTGAAATATCTTATCAGAAAATATAGCATGATGTAGTGTCATATGAATATAGCCACACGCTATCAGAATACCAGAATACCTCCAGGCTGCGCTCTCTTACGACCCGGCCTGCTTCTCCTCCGGCACCTGGCGACGGTCAGGAAACGCCGAGAATCGCTAAAAAGTCTCCCCGAATGGGCCTGCTGGGGGCATTCAGCCTCCTGCACGGTTCGCGCGTATCTGCGCAGGACGGCGTCGATTCCAACCCAGTCCAGCGGCCGGGCAAAGCGCTTTAGGGTGGGCATGCCCATCCGCACCTCCATAAGACATGTCTGCGCACAGACTGACGGCAGACATCTCTGCCAAACCCTTCACAGTGTCAAAGCCTGGGGCTCGTCGGTCGTGCGCACCTCGGACACAAAACAAGTGAGTGAGTGAGTGAGTGAGTGTCGACCTGGGGTGCTCTCCGGCCTACGGAAACGGTCCCTCTCGCCTTCTTTGCCCCTCCGCATACGTCATCAGGGCTCCGGTGCAGAGTTCAACGCTCCGGGCCCCTCGATCCGAGCCGGGGATTAGGGGAGGGATGTGCCACCCGAACCTCCATGGGCCCGCCCCCCCAAGCCGGGCGGCTTGGGTTGGAATTGGACACTTGGCAAGACAGCCCACATCACAGGAACAAAGCTCTTCCCTCGATGATCTCTCACCGAAGTACTAAGCTGGGGACACTGGCTCAGAGAGGCGGGGCATTGGGGGGAGGGGTGGTCGACCAAACACGCACACACGCACAGCACCGGCAGCGAGACTAAGGGCAAAAGCACATTCAGCTAATGCCCTTGTGACACTTGTGGCTGCAAATACTCGAACAGTGTCCCCTTGGCGTGTGGGACGATGCCTGATGCTGAGGGCATCACCCCTCGACCAAAAGGGGGGGACACAAAACAAGAGGAGCCGAAGAACTTTGCGAGCGCCACTGCGGCCAAGGCGCGAATCGCAGGTGGGCCTCCTCGATGTCCATCAGCGCCGTGCTCGCATTCACCAGCAAGGTCATCTCCGCCAGCTCGTCGTAGCATTCTTCGTAAGACTCCTTAATACTTTTTTGTTGTTTTTTCTGCTTTGCTCTAGCTTTGCAACCGAAAAAGCCTCATCAATGGCTCTGGCAAAGGCCCCAGAATGCGATGCATCTTTGTGCGCTCCCTCATAATCGAGCACTGCTAAGCCTTAAGCTCGAGAATCGATTTTGTTTACACAGATCGCGGTGATTCCGAAGCCTTCACCCTATCCCATCTTTGGCGTGTTAAAGAATCACGTGGAGTAGTCTGCCCAGGGGTGTTCGGGGAGTTCAGCTCACCGACCGCCTTTGCCTGAGCCCTGCTCCCTGTGCTGAGAACATCTCCGAAGCCTACTCTCCGAAAGCAGACATCATCTGTCTGCCAAGCGGCGTTGCTGGCAGCGGAGCGCGCCGTCGGGGCCCTCCTGGATTCCAGCAGGCTGCTGGGAAGCACCTTGCCAAAAGGGGCAAGCGGGGGCCTGACGAAGGACCGGGGGCGAATTCCAGTGCAAAGCCAGGCAGCATGCTGCGTCGGGTCCGCCTCAGTCAGAACCCATGCACTTTCCGTCGGGAACATTAACCAAAGCCCGGAATCGCCACACCTGCAGAGATCCCACAATGCAATAGAGGTGCTTCTGGGACCGGCATGGAATCAACATCCTGCTTCAGGGCAAGCCTTAGCACGTCACTGCTTCCGACGGCAAGACGTGCAACATGACGTAACCAAGCTGCAAGTGGTAGGTGGTGCTGTCGCCATAGAGACTGGGAGGCAGCGGGACGTGGAAGACGTCCACCGAAATCGCCTGACCCGAAGGGGCCCGGAGAGGCATTCGTAGACATCGTGGTGCCGCGACGGCTCGCAGGCGACGCCGCTCGTCACCCTCTTCACACTCCGCCCCGTCGCTCGTGGCCCCGCCCTTCGCCAGGAAGCCGTCGAAGAGTTTCCTCGCCTTGTCATCGACGATGAGCTCACGAAAGCTGTGTCCGTCGAAGTCCTCTCTGCTTGACAAGAGCCGTTGGAGGCACGGCGCTCTGCCACAGATCTGGAAGTTGCCATCCAGAAGCAGCTCTCCGTCGCAGATGCCCTTCAGCATCTGCCGAAAACCCTCAATCAAGGAGTCTGAGTCTTGCGACTGAAACGATGCCACAATCCACTCCCGCACGGCGAACTCGAAAATGATGGGGAGGGCGATGGAGACCAAAACGTTTAAGCACATATGGAACAATACCAGCCACAGGGTCACAGCTCCGAAGGCCTGCCCCATGACCCATGTGTGGGCAGCGGCGTAGGAGATGGATTGCACCACCGTCAACGCACCCACAGGGAAAATGAATGCCTGAACAACTTGAGCTGATAGGCAAAAGCCGAGCCGCCCCATCATCTCGTGCTTGCTGTTGGAGCCGCTTACGAAGATGGTGGTCAAGACCAGCACAAAGAAGAAGAGCTGCATAGGCCGCAGAAGGGAAGACGAGAAAAGCCACGGTGCTGCGATGATCAGGACGTGAGGCAAATATGCAGCAAAAGATTGCAGCAACCAGGTCGCCGCGTGCAGGCTGGGCTCACACAAGAACTCCACAAGCTGGAGAAAGATCATCAGAAAGACCACATGAACACAGAGCCGGTTGAAGAACATCAAGATCTTCACTCGCACCTCTATCAGCTCCTCGCCGTGCTGCCCGACTCTTTAGTCATTTAGTCGCTTCACGAAATGCCCTAAGCCCCAAAAGGGTGTTAGCAGAGCCCTACATCATCGACTCACATACTGCAGTTTGTGCATGCTACCATCTCGGCTGCTACGATCAGTATCCCTTGCTCAGCTGTGCTCATCCCTTCCTTCTCGACGCGGGCGGCCATGGGGCTGAGACCCGAGCCCTTCCCGTGAGCCTTAGGCAAGCTGTCAAGGGCTCCGTGGCTCCGTTTCGAGACAGGCGCCCCCCGTTTTCGCGAGGCTTCGGCCCAGTTTTCTGCGAAGTGGAGGAACTTCCACACCCCGGACTTCACATCTGCCTGCAATGGGAAAACGTGGTGGGGAAGGAGCGGGGCCCGGGCAAAAAGGGCACGCGCCTTCGTCGCATGCCAGTGCACCACGAGCAGGGTTACCCAGGCCACGCAGGCTACGGCCGCAGCAGTGTTCTCAAACACTGCTTCAGCCGGCACGTCCATGGCCGAAACACACACACACACACACACACACACACACACAGTCTTGGTGTTCACCCGGTGTTCAACAGTTTCTACACGAGTTCCGGCAGACACCGCGGATCTACCCTTAAATTAGAAGGAGCGCTTCAGTGCTTGCGCCCTGGTGCAATCGCGGCATACTACCACACGCAACTCGATTCAACTAGCCAAATGGCCAACCGGGAAAGGGGAGTTCATGCACCGTAATACTTTATCTTCCACGCAGACAAGGTCAGGAATGGCTTGGAGGCGCGTGCGCGATTCTTTCTGCGTTTGAACGCTTGCGTCCGCGGTTTTCCATCCGAGCTCGACCTCGGCCTTGGACCTGGTCCGGCTCAGGGAGCGCCCCCTCCAGCGAGACTCAGGTCGTCAGCTCCAGATATCCCCCAAGAAACTCCCCCCCCAGAAAGGGATCGGATCACCAGCTCCGGCGGCTTCAGGAAGTTCTTCGTGGAGGGCTCAGCCAGCTCCCAGGGGCAGAAGTGGCTTTCTGAAGCCCAGAAAATCGGACCCTTCTGGCACTTAGGGGCAGCCGTACTTCCGAGCTGTCCTGGGCTCTTGGTACAAGAAGCTGTGGTTCAACTCACCACACATTCTCTCGTTATAAAGGCCGCTACACCAACCCCTGAACCTAACCAAACCCATCAAGCCCTGTTTGCTAGAGAATTGTAACTGAAAACTCTACACACAAAATCTCTATATTCAGCCCTACCCTGCATATTCTTGAAGAGTGCGGGGTAATACTCACAAGACCAGGATCCCCTGTAACCTAGGTTGCATCAACAGCCCTAAGCCCTACATCGTAACCCCCAAGCCCTTAAACAATCCGAAACCCTACAACCCTCACCCCTATCCCCTCACCCCTAAACCCTTATCCCTAAACCCTAAACCCTACAACCCTCACCCCTAAACCCTACAACCCTGAACCCTCACCCCTAAACCCTACAACCCTAAACCCTCACCCCTAAACCCTAAACCCTACAACCCCAAACCCTGAACCCTCAACCCTGAACAAACACGGGCCCAGAGTCGGACTCTTCCGGGTGGCTTCCAGGAGCTCCTCTCCGGCAGGGCCAAGGAAGGAGTGGAAGGACTCCAAGTCGTTCCTGAAGATTAAGAAGCTTGCCTTTAGTTAGTAGGGAATGGAAGAATGTGGTATCATTATATCTACTATTATATTGCTACCATTCTTCCATTCCCAACTGACCAAAGGTAAGTAAGAAGGGGGTTTGGGGTTCTAGGGTCTTTTTGTTAACGCCCCATTTCCTATCCGCCACAAAGGTTGGGGTTCTAGGGTTTGGGGTTTAGGGCTCTAGTCTTTAAGAAGAGGGTTTGGGGCTTAGGGCTGCAGGGTTGTAAGGGTTGAAGGGTTTTGGGGTTGTGGGTTTAGGGTGTAGGGTTTCGGGCGGAGAGTTGAGGGTTTCGGGTTGAGGCTTTAGAGTTGAGAGCTTGGAGTTTAGCGTGTATTGTCTCGGACTTGGGATTTAAGTCGCTTCTGGGGTTTCATGGGTTCCGTGAAGGGTACCTTTAGGGCTACTGCAGCATCCACAAGGATACGAAAAGGATTGCGTTCAGTGTGCTACAGTATACGGGTTACTATACTGGTAGGAGTTTGGAGGTTTAGGGTTTAGGGTTCAGTGATGGGTTCAGGCTTGCATTTTAGGGTTTAGGGTTTGGGTTTAGCTTTGTCGTTTAGGGTTTGGGGCTTACCTTTCAGGTTTCAACTTCTGGATATCCGGAGGAAGGGATTGAACTACGAATAGTTGCGAGCTTGAACAAGAAGGTAGCGCTTGAGCAATAAAAGAAATACAGACGTGATGGCACGCCTTCTAAGCTTAGGCGCAAGCTAAGAACCAAGGCTTCACAACTAAAGCCCGCCAAATAAACGGTTCTCTCAACAGGCAGACAAACCCTGAACCCTGAACCCCAACCCTGAACCCCACACCCCCAAGACCCTAAAGCCCTAAACCCCAGACTCTAAACCCTCAAACCCTAAACCCCCCCTGAACCCTATACCCCAACCCCAGGCCCCAAGCCCAGACCCTAAACCCTTCTGCACCCCTGTAACGAGCCCTTTAAAGGAACCCTAAACCCAGCCGAGGCTCAAGTGAACCAAAAGGTTCGGTTTAGCCTCCGGGTCCGCGACGTGGTTTGCCAGATCTTGGATCCTGGGTGGCGGCTGTAGAAAGAGATCCCTCTGAAAAGGAACCCCAAAGATCCCTTAAAGGAAACCGTATTACTATTATCATTGTTGCTGAGATTGTTAATTGTCTTATTTTTAGTCGTATTATTACTACTACTACTACTACTACTACTACTACTACTACTACTACTACTACTACTACTACTACTACTGCTACTGTTAGGGTCTGTGGGCTCCCCGATCTTAAGCCTGGATACCGAAACCACAAAAACCCTAAACTTAAACCCTAAACCCTGAACCCTAAACCCTAAACCACAAAAAGTAACCGCGGCCAAGGGATCCTCACCTCATGCATGCGGCCCCCTCCGGGAGTGCGGCAGGTTTGTCCTCCCTTTCTCCTGAAGCTGATCCAGGTCGCGGTAGGGGGAAAAGAGTTTCAGGTTTAGGGTTTTGTTAGTTAGAGGTTTAAGTAATGTAGGAACCTGATTAAGAAACCCTGGGCCCATAACCCCAAAATAGTAGGATTCATATAAGGAACCCTAATAAAGGCCCAAGGTTTCTTAATCAGGTTCCTACATTAGGGTCGGAAGGAGACTGAGGCACTAGGAGGTTCAGCCTAGGCTCTTCGGGACTTCTCTTCTTCTTGGAGGTTCATGGCTAGATTAAAATAGGGTTGTAAGTCCCCTAATATGGGTTATAAGCATAGTTACCCTACTTATGACCCTACTTATAACTACCCATGAACCTCCAAATTTGCGTCACAGAAAATCTTACTGGCAAGTCGGGCCCCAGCTTCCGGGCTCTTACACCACACCTCCGGGAGCGGACCTGGACATGGCGCCCTACTGCACCCCAGAAGTAGGTACGCTTTGGATAACGGGAGTTCCCTAAACCCTAAACCCCTAAACCCCTAAACCCCTAAACCCCTGAACCTTAAACCCTCCACCCTAGAATTCCTGAACTTTTGGAGCGAAGAAGAACAAGTCAAAGTCTGTTGAGCAAAGCCAGGGTCTGAGGGGCCCTGAATAACCTTTGGTTTCATAGGTACATGCATACATTCATGCATATGTACTTGCTTCTACGTGTATGTTTTCAGGTAGACCTCGACATACATACGAATACATGTATAGAAACACAGAAAGACGGTATGATAGATATATGGATAGACACAGTTCTGTGTATAGGGTCGGCTCTTTTTGTCACCCTCCGGCCGGGTCGAAGAGCTGGGCGTGGTCCAGGAATTTCTGGAGGCTGCCCGGCTCCAGGGCTTCTGGGGGCGGCTTCTGCAAGAAGAACCGGGCGATGCACTCCAGGGTTCCTAGGCGTCCCAAAAGCTCAAAAGCCCTCAAGCCCACCCACCCACCCACCCCGCGCCAGGGCCCTGAATGTTGGGATCCCAAAAGGGATCGGGAGCTCGAAAATATGCAATACGATGCGAAAGCCTCGGCTTAAAACCCTTGAGCACACCGTGTCGTGCCCCTCATCCACCGAATTTGAGCCTGTCGGTCAAGCCCTCTCATAGACTGACTGATTCATGCATTTATTTGCTTTATACACAGGTCATTTTTCATACAGCCATATCTTACTATTACAACAATAGATACATATGAATCTGTGTATATATATATATATATATGTACCTATATGTGTCTACATGCATATTTATATGTATTGCTAAATATGACGATGTATATACATATGTGTATATATGCATGCATGCATGCATATATATATATATATATATATATATATATATAGGTAGATAGGTAGATAGATGGAGATATAGATGTAGATAGAGATATAGATATATAGATGTAGCTGTACAAGATCTATACTAGGCGTGCGCCTTTTTGCTCCGCTTTCAAGGCTCCCACCCCTTCTCCCCAACACAAGCAGAGCGGCGGTTGTAGTGGATCTGAAAGTCAGCCATAGAGAGTTGCATCACGTGCTCCTCGGGGCTATATAAACTGTTTCTAGAACTCTTGCTGCGTGCAATAAAACGAGCTTATCGGATTTTATTGGGTTTGTATGAGGCTTTGGTATACGGCTTTAGGATTTAGGGTGTTGTAGGGCTGTTACAAGTGTCTTAAGGTTGTACTAGGTTTCATGGGGATTTATGGGCTACAGGACCAAGGGCCTCGGCGAAGGAGGGTTCTGTAGGGCTTCAAAGATGCTACGTAATAATGGGTCGTATTGGGTTTGCAGGGTCATTTACCGGAGTAGGAGCCCTGGGCAAGTTTCCAGTTTTTGAACTAAGGCAGCTACACTGTGATCATGTATAGCTCGTTACTACGTCCAGGGATCCTTCAGACGCACCCTGATCCTACATTCGGGGTGCAGGGCCCCCCTATCAGAGGGATTCCAAAAAATAAAAACTTGGCGATGACAGCTTTATGCTTTCAGCTCCCCAACAAGAGGCCAACAAAGGTTCTTAGCTTCTTTGAACACCGCCGAAGACAGAAGCCAGAACCCCTGAAGCTGAGCAAGAGCCCCTGAAACCCCCTGAAAGCCCTGAAAGCCCTGACCCTGCAAGCTCCAGCTGCTGCCAGCGCCGCGCGTGCCACAGCATCTTCGCCACGTCCAGGCGGCTGCGGAGAATCTCGGCCTCAAGCCCTGTTCGGGGTATAGGGTATAGGGTATCAGGTTCAGGGTATAGGGTCTAGGGTATAGGGTTTAGGGTTCAGGGTATAGGGTTTAGGGTTTAGGGTATGGGGTTCGGGGTATAAGGTTCAGCAGCTCCGGTTCGAGCAATTTCTAGTCGAGCTTTGGACCCGGAAATCATGCCGCCCACGGGTTTAGGGCTTTATGGTCGAGCGTTTGGGATTTATGGTTTGGGGTTTTGGGCTTGGGGTGTAGGGGCTGAGCGTTTAGGGTTTAGGAGGTGGCATGTTTAGATAGAAGAGCTTCGTTTCCATGCTAAGGGTGTTAGGAGGCAAACTAACGGGGTTGTCAAACTCTTGGGGTTGAAACAGAAGCATCCTTTTGAGGAGCCCAGGCTGTGATAGAAGGGGGAGCATGACAGACAAGACCGGTTTTGTAGCCCTTTTTGCAAGGGTTCAGAGCTGCACGGGCTTTTGAAGGGTGTGAGGGTTGAGGGCCGCAGCGCGGTTGGGGCGTTCAGGCTTGAGGGTCTCGAAAGCCTCTGACTGTAGCTTACTGGGTCCTTGTTAGGGATTTCAATATAGGTTACCATAGTAGCGATAGAAAGGAAAGAAAACAGGCTTCCTGATCATGGTAACTTAAGTTCCACTAAAAAGAACCCGGTAGCTTGGGATTGAAGAGCCAGGGGCTGTCCGGAAGGAAACCCGTAGCTTCGCCTTCTGGCACGCTGAGGTTCTGCAGCAACTCTGCATAGCTGCACCGGAAGCGGCATCGCCGGAAGATTTGCGACCAGGCCTCGTGATCGCCTCAACTTATGGGGCAATCGCAGGGTTTAGGGTTTAGGGTTTATGGATCGTAGGCAGTTTTCGCAAGCTCCCTGGCCAAAATTTCCCTGAGAGCCCTGGAAGCCTAAACACTCGACCCTAAGCAGTGAAACCCTAAACCTCAAAGCTCAACCCTGGAAACCTTCAAGCCAGCACAAAGCGGGATGAAGACAGAGTCGCAATTCAGGCAGTCGGGCGGATCGCGGAAGGTGGTCCAGACCTCGGGCAGCGCTTACGGAACCTCCGAATCCTTTAATGTCTAATGACCTGACTATCGCAATACGGGAGTTTCCGAAAAATGGGGGTACCTTAATTTGGGGCCCTCAAAATAGGGATCCTACTATTTAGGGTACTATACTAGGGTCCCACATTTTCGGGAACTCCCCTAATACTCTAGGAACAGTACTCTGGTAAACTCATTGTCGCAAACCTGCTACTGCGGCGATGGGTCTGACCTGAAAAGCCTCTAAAGGGCCCTGCAAGCATGAATCCCAGATGGCTTCGGTGATGCAAGGGTGCGTGGTTACACGCATAAACCCTGAACCATAAACCCTACACCCTAGATCACTCATAATGTCTGAGAACAGAAGGAAGGATCCAAAGTAATGTAGAGCCTCTACTATTCCTTAAGGGCTGTATAGGACAAAATGTGCTGTACCCCAATACCCCGCTCGAATTATGAGGGGGCCGCTTTTTTTCACAAGGGGGTCCCCGGTCCCAAGCACCTCGGCGGCCTTCCGGTGGTAGACGTAGCCCGACATCACCAGCTGCGTTGGATTCCGGGTGATGTGAACGATCCTCCCCGCACCCGAAGCGAGCAGGTCTTGCCTCAGCTGCGCGCACTTCACTAAGTCACCTTTGGTTAGTAGGGAATGGAGGACTGGGCTACAATTATAACAACTCTTACTACCATTCTTCCATTCCCTGCTAACCAAAGGTAAGCTAAACGCATCAAGGATTCGGGGCTGAGAGCTCCACTGTCCAACTACCAACTCGCTTCGCAGGTGCACGCGAGAACTATCCCCTTTGATCCCTTCCAGCCTTGCATGGCCTGCAGAAGACACAGAACAGAGCTTACCCATGCCCTTTCGTTTGCAGCTCGAAGATGTCTCCGTCGGGTCTGGGCCCCGGGCTTGTCGGGCTTGACTATCTTCACCTACATGGATACTCTATATGGGAGTTTCCGAGAATTAGGGGTACCTTATTTTGGGGGTCTTATAATGAGGATCCTACAATTTAGGGTACGACATTAGGGTCCCCTATTTTCGGAAACTCCCATATCCGACGGCGCGACCCACCAACCCATCGACATGCACAGTGCGCTCAGCTCGGCAGCTGTCCTGCACCTTGTGCCCTAAACCCAAGAATCCCAAGAACCCGCCCGTAAGCCATACGAGCCCTTCAGCCTGAGCCCTAAGAAACCCTTATAGAGCCCTCCTAAATCCGGAAGAGACCCTCAGAAACATTCCATCAAAAGCCCCTGCAGCTGCGAGGTGCAGCTGCGAGTCTCCAAGGAGGGGCTTTGCGAAGTGCGCCGCCATCTCCCCGGTTTCCGTATCCGCGAAGAGCCTGCGGAGAAAGCAGCCCGCGCAGATATTGGAGCTTTTGATTTTGGGCGGTCTTAGGGTTTGGGGGTTGGGTTTAGGTTATGGATTGAGGGTCTTGTGGGTGATGCTCTACTGAACTTAGACCCCCTGCAAGACTTGAAATATTAGCCGCTTCTAAGGGATCATAGGAAGCCAAAATTCAAAGTCATGTCTATCTGCCCCTGCGAAAGATGCTTCTGGGTGTGACTTTCGGGACACTGCCGGAGCCTCGTGAAAGCCTGGAAGTAGGGGTAGATCTCGGGCTTGCCATCTCGCGGCTTCACCTCTGCAAGAATCTGAGAAGCCGCTTATCGAAGCTCAGATGAATACACGTACATATATACAACTCTGCATATAGACATGTAGATACGGACATAGAGACAGATACTGTATGCAGCAAAAGAGACCGAAAGCATGCAGAAAAGTCTCTCACGGGATGATAAATCTCCGAATATGTACAATCACGTATACACACATATGCATATGCATATGCCTTCAGGTACTTGAGTGTGACAAAGTCTAAAGAGTGTCCGTATTGATCTGATTGCTAAACCTATCCATGGAACCTTGCAAGCATGTGCTGACACAGAAACTGTATGGGACCAGCTACCAGGGCATACTGGTAAGACGGTGACACATACGCACGTGGGTGGTTGTCAAAATTATGGTCCCGTTTTGGGTCCTTATTAATACGGCACCTAATATTTGAGGTGCCCAAAAAGGGACCATGATTTTGACATTGACAACCACCCACGTATGTGTAGGGATGAAACATGAGTTCGAGAACCCCCATGCACCTAGCGGGCCAGGAGCCGGTCATGCAGCAATACACCAGCTATCATGAGAAGGTAGGGAATGGAAGGATGGTAGTAATAGTAGCTATAATTGTACCCCATTCCTCCATTCGCTAGTAACATCTACTCATCTACTAACCAAAGGTAAGCTTATTGCCGTATTGCTTCATTAAAGCTGTTGGAGTCTCCGGGGTGATGACGGGCTATCCGAAGCTGTCGTGGTGGAACAGTGGAAGATCTTTGCATTAGGGGCACCTTGCATAGCGCCGTAGCGACCTCCAAGACATACCTGACTGGGGGACAACCACACCAACCAGTTCGACGATTCGTGTCCCGATGCACTGAGCCCTTTAAACCTGCAGACAGCCGACATGCATGCCATAGCCGTCAAGGAGAATCATGTCCGGCACGTGGACCTGTGCTCTTGCTCCCGTAGATTCTGGGACAACTGAGGCTCATCCGGGTTCACGGCGCCAACAAAGCAAACCACAAGATACAAAGTCACAAAAAAAAGAGGCGGCTGCCAGGGCCACCAAAGCCATTCTTTGAAATCTACAGGCTTCTAGCCCTTATGAAATCTCGCTGCTGCAGGTGCACCTTGTGTTTAGTGGTCCGTGCTCGCGGTCGAACAATGCCCAGATTCTAGGGAGTTTCCCGTATACAAAGGCCACAAGAAGAAGAACAGAGTATGAAAGAACACGCATACATGGAAACTACACGGGGATACCTTAACTAGGAGCCCTAAACGAAAAGCTTGGGCTTTGAAGAGACGAGGTCTCTTCTCGCAAATCGTTCACTTCTATCCCAGCCGAACCAAGTCGCGCGACCGTCAAAGCCCAAAAACCCACTGAAACCTGGACCTCACTCTCTCTCTCTCTCTCTCTCTCTCTCTCTCTCTCCACCCTCTCGATCTCTTCATTTAAGGAACGGGATTTCGGTGGCATAGATTCGTATATACATGTATATGTATAGAAAGAGAGATATACATACATACGTCTACACATACGTACATATATATTTTGTATATATATATATATATATGAGAGTGCTACCTCTTGGGTCTATTTAGCTACTATGTTTTCTTTATTTATTTATATATATTGCAAATAATTGAAATAATTGAAATAATTGAAATAATTCAAACATAAGGTGCTGATTTCAATTATTTCAATTATTTAGGTGACCCAAACAATTGAAATAATTGAAATAATTGAAATCGGCCCCATTTCAATTATTTCAATTATTTCAATTATTTCAATTATTTCAATTAATTGAAATCCTATGGTTCTGTGGAAGGGTCACACGAACCAATAGGATTTCAATTATTTCAATTATTTCGATTATTTGTGTCATCCAAACAATTGAAATAATTGAAATAATTGAAATCAATAGGTTTACTAGGTCAACGGATGAACCACACGATTTCAATTAATTGAAATAATTGAAATAATTGAAATAATTGAAATCGGCCCTATTTCAATTATTTCAATTATTTCAATTATTTAGGTGACCCAAACAATTGAAATAATTGAAATAATTGAAATCGGCCCCATTTCAATTATTTCAATTATTTCAATTATTTCAATTATTTCAATTAATTGAAATCCTATGGTTCTGTGGGAAGGGCCTCACGGACCACAAGGATTTCAATTATTTCAATTATTTCGATTATTTGTGTCACCCAAACAATTGAAATAATTGAAATAATTGAAATCAATAGGTTTACTAGGTCAACGGATGAACCACACGATTTCAATTAATTGAAATAATTGAAATAATTGAAATAATTGAAATAATTGAAATCGGCCCTATTTCAATTATTTCAATTATTTCAATTATTTAGGTGACCCAAACAATTGAAATAATTGAAATAATTGAAATCAATAGGTTTACTAGGTCAACGGATGAACCACACGATTTCAATTAATTGAAATAATTGAAATAATTGAAATCGGCCCCAATTATTTCAATTATTTCAATTATTTAGGTGACCCAAACAATTGAAATAATTGAAATAATTGAAATCATTTCAATTATTTCAATTATTTCAATTATTTCAATTAATTGAAATCCTATGGTTCTGTGGAAGGGCCTCACGGACCACAAGGATTTCAATTATTTCAATTATTTCAATTATTTAGGTGACCCAAACAATTGAAATAATTGAAATAATTGAAATCAATAGGTTTACTAGGTCAACGGATGAACCACACGATTTCAATTAATTGAAATAATTGAAATAATTGAAATAATTGAAATAATTGAAATCGGCCCTATTTCAATTATTTCAATTATTTCACTTATTTAGGTGACCCAAACAATTGAAATAATTGAAATAATTGAAATCGGCCCCATTTCAATTATTTCAATTATTTCAATTATTTCAATTAATTGAAATCCTATGGTTCTGTGGAAGGGCCTCACTGACCACAAGGATTTCAATTATTTCAATTATTTCAATTATTTATGTGACCCAAACAATTGAAATAATTGAAATAATTGAAATCGGCCCCATTTCAATTATTTCAATTATTTCAATTATTTCAATTATTTCAATTAATTGAAATGGTGGGGTTCTGTGGAAGGGCCTCACGGACCACAAGGATTTCAATTATTTCAATTATTTCAATTATTTATGTGACCCAAACAATTGAAATAATTGAAATAATTGAAATCGGCCCCATTTCAATTATTTCAATTATTTCAATTATTTCAATTATTTCAATTAATTGAAATGGTGGGGTTCTGTCGATAGGGCCACTGCCTCACCCCCTGCTCTCCCCCGCCCACCACCATTCCCCTGTGCCCATTCCCTCCACCCCCTCCCTTCCCATCCTCTCGCCTGCCCTCCCTCCTCCCTCTTCCTCCTTCCCCTTCGCCTCACACCACTGCAGGAGGGGGGGGTGGGCAGGTGGAAGGGTGGCCTTCCACCCTTCCCACCCCCCCACCCCCCCCCACTACCCCCACCACCACACCCTTCCACCCCCCCCACCCCGGCCGTGACCTCCGTCCCCCCACCTTGTGGGGTTGGAGGGGGGGTGGGCGGGTGGTAGGGTAGGGGATTCCTCCTCCCACTACCCTACCCACCCCCACACCTTCCACCCCCACCAACCCTCCCCTGCCGTGGGTCCTCCATCCCCCCACCTGTGCAGGGGAGATAGGCTTTGGGAGGGTTAGAAGATGGGGTGCCACCTTCCCACCCCCCCACTACCTACCAACCATCCCCTCCACCCACCCCCTCACTCATCCACCCCCCACCCCTCCACCCCCAACCCCTCACCCACGCACTCCTCCACCCGCTCCGTTCCCCTCTCCTTACCCTCTCCCTTCAATTCTCTCCCACCCCTCAAAACCTCCTCCCTCCCCCCTCACCCCATCATTGCCTCCCCTCCCCATCCCTTCCCCTCACTCCATCCTCCTCATCTCCTCTGCCCTTCCTTATACCATCTCTTCCCTTCCTCCGCTCCCCTCCACCCCTCAAACATTCTTTTCATTCCCTACCCCTAAACCCACCGCCCCTCAACCCCTGAATCCACCTCCACCCTACCAAAGAGTTAGCGAAGATGTCATTCGACAGAACAGCCTCGCCGTCAGGATCGGTGTTGGAAATGGGAAGAGACAGCAGGCTCCAAACCGCCGTGTCTCACCCACCACTTCAAGGGCTAGGGATCCCACACATCTGCGGGCAAAATCTGGCGGAAGTGATCCGCCACCTAGCAAAAAGCCTGTAAATACCGCATTAAACAAAGGGCCAGGGATTTCACATATCTGGTGTAAAATCTGGCGGAAGTGATCAATCGGTACTTCTGTCAGATTTTGCCAACAGATATGTGAAATCCCAGGCCCTTTGTTTAATGCGGTATTTACATGCTTTTTGCTAGGTGACGGATCACTTCCGCCAGATTTTGCCCGCAGATGTGTGGGATCCCTGGCCGTTTTTTGAACGCTGCATTTACAGGCTGTCTGCTCGGACATCTTCATGGTCTTTATTACCTTATCATTTCCCTTGCCATCAGTATACTATATCAAATATTTCTTCCATCACTTTTGTATTATTATATCATATTTCATTTCATATTGGTATGATCTTATTGCTGCTTATACGCTTATGTGTACAACCTCCTTATCATTTTGATCATATTGCTTATCTTTATGGTAGCC